TGGACCTTTGCGGGGTAGAGGGAAGGAGGGGGCACAGGCAGCCTGCACTACTGGAGACTGCCAAGTGTAGCTGAATGTATGGGCTACTCCCAATTGGCTGTGGGGTGCAAGCAAATATACCCCAACCCCCTGCCACATCACCATGGACCCTCCCCTGTACCCCGCAAGTGCCCTACCTCATGAATTGCATGTGCTTTTGTGTCTTGGCCCACTTGCACACAGACCCAGGAGCTGAAGCATGTCACTGACAAACACTTGAAGGAGAGTATGGGACATCATGCATGCCTACCTGGACATGATGTGGCAGCTGGTCACCATGACATGTAGCTTCCTGCCCTCAAGCCAGCAGCCAGCTGTCCTGTATGGGGCCACCTACTGCACCCTGAGTTAGCCAAGCATCCTGAACTGAGCTAACGATTTCCAAGTGGCCAATGAGGATGAGGCCACCCAGGATGCCATGGACACTGGAGTGCTCTAGCACCATCTCCAGACAATCAAGCACTGGTTCCGGGGCCACGCCATCAGCAGTGACTGGTGGGAGCAAATTCTCCTGGATACCTGGGATGATGAACGCTATGTCCAGAGCTTCCACATGCACCAAGCCACCTTCGTGGACACTATCGCCCAGGTAGCCCCCCACATTGCAAAGAACCGGATGGCCATCACCATCATGAAGCTGGCCACCCCCAGAAGTGTCCGCTATGTCACCAAACAGTTCAGCATGGGCAAGTCTACAGCTGGAGAGGCTGTCTGGGAGGTGTACCTGATGATCCAGAATGTCCTGGCCAACCACTTCATTTGCCTGATCGACCTGCAGGAGGTAGTTGCTGGCTTCTGCTGCATGGGCTTCCCAAACTGCGTGGGGGCCATGGACAGCACCCATATACCCCCATCCTCTGCTCCATATACCCCCATCCAAAGTCACCCAGGCATTCATCAACTGCAATGGTTACTTCTTCAGCATCCTGCAGGGCTTTGTTGACCACCAGAGCTTCACCCACATCTTCAACAGCAGGGCCAGCAGTACCCACAAGGCCCGAGTCTTCTATAACTCCCCACTCCCCCAGATGAGGGAGAGTAAGTCCCCAAGTTCATCATTAGCACCATTGTTATCATCGAGAACCCAGCGTACCCACTTATGCTCCGGCTCATGAAGCCCCACACAGGACAGCTAGACTGCTGAAAGGAGAACTTCAACTACTACCTGAGCAGGTTCCCCCACAACTGTGGAGTGTGCCTTTGGCTGCCTTAAGGCAGGCTGGCATGGTCTCAATATGTGGCTTAAGTGGAGGAGGAGAACCTGCCATACCTTGTTGTTATCACATGTGTCCTCCACAACATCTGTAAGACCAGGGAGGAGGTCTTCCACAAAGCCTGGGCAAAGGAGGCATGGCACACATGATGAGTGTGAAAGCTGAGACAGCTTGGCCAGGCATACACTTAAGTGACCAAATTGAAATAACAGCACATTTTGCACAAGAATGCAAGATGGTAGCTGGGACCATGCAAAATAAAGCAATCCCAATTGATTTCATTTTCTGTGCTAGATTGCGCCAAATTGCTGTAGTGTTTGTAATCACCTGAAAGTTTTAATAGCTCAGAAAGAAACCCTCCTGCACAAAAGACAGTGGCTGGGGCAAAACTGAGTTCTGGTGACAAGATTGCCACAAAGAAGATCAGTCTCCGCTAATGGCTGCAACCTATTAGGTGTAGCTTGTGGCATCCAATACCAGACCTATGCCATAAATGAAAGCAGTCATAATGAAGGCTGGGGTATGAGTGGGTGAGGATAGTGACAGTGCTATCAAAAAACCCCCTCAAATAGCTGCTCTGCTAGTGGTTGCCACCCTCTAGGCGCTGAGTTAGATAGGCCTCAACCCTCTACCACATGCGAGCCTAAAAATAAAAGTAATGGTTCCCTATAAAGAAAAATTGTTGGCAAACACCTGACACACACATCACATGTGTATAACAAAGCTAAGAGAAAGAGAGAAGGGCAGAGACTGTCTCAGTTAGTGTAACCAGAGAAAGCAGGAAACTACATATACATTTCAATTGGACTAGTAACTAAAGAAAACAAAAGACTAAATATACATTTTAAAACAGAACCTGTAAGAGGTACACTGAATATGTGAAAGGTGTTCTGTACCTGACGAATGCATGGTCATACATACTATATGTGCCTTGTTAACACATCCTCATATTTCTCAAATGCCTCAATTATTCAATATCTGCCTGGGGTTTTGTAAATAAACCATCACTGGTACAGGCTATTTCAAATTTGCCCCATTGTTAAACAAATACCCAAAACAGGTCCTGTAACCAATTCCCCTAGCTATCCCATTTAGCCAATCAAGACCCATCACATTTGACTGACTTACAACCTCCAGGCTGGTCAGACACCGCAAGAAAAACAAGTTTCACACCTGGACAAATACAAAAACAGGATTCAAGCAGCTAACAGTTGTAATGTGATAATTCCTCCTTCCACCCTGTTTTGTTTGGACTTTAATTAACCAATCATCAAGAAAAAATGCTTTGAAGCTATACAATTAAACAGTATGAGAATAAAATAGAATTGCAGGTAAGGTGTGTGCTCCTGGAGAAACAGAGACAGATCACTACAACAATGCACCCAGCTCTTCAAGAAAAAGGATCCTGCTCAGTGAAAGCCATAAGGAAACTGTTTCCTGGCCTGCATTGGTGAGAAAACACTCTTGCAGCTAAACAAATACTCAGACTTTGGTGATAGCTCATTCATTGCGTATTGAATTGTTATCTTTTCTGTGCCCCCCCCTCTGTTATTTAGGGTTATAGCTTGTTTGTGACATTGGTATTAAAGCCTTTCTGCTATTAATTGAATGAGGTGTTGTGTCAATCCTTAACTCTACTAGGTTTAAAAACCCACTTTTAACTGCACACACACAGACCAGACATGGTGTGAGCATAAACAGCACAGGGAGGTTGTGGAGAGAGAGCGCCCCATTGATGATGAGCATGCCGTCCCTGCACCCCTGGGGCAAGGAGCCATGTCACTGCTCTCCACCCAGCATAGCAGAGACTGGGGTCCCAGCTATGCTGCGGGTGGGCAGCAGGCCCTGAAGTGATGCTGCAATGGGTTGCCAGGAAGAGACACCCTTGTGCATGTCTGAAGAGAGTCCAGTGGAGGGCAACAAAAATGGTTAGGGAGTTAGGGCACATGACCTATTAGAAGAGGCCAAGGGAACCTGGAGTACAGCTGAGGCACCAAGCAGCCCTCCCTCCCTCCCTCTCCCCATATTCTTCTTTTCAGCCCACACAGATACAAATAAGTCAAGATTCCCCAAACACTGAGAATTAAGGATTAACACTTAAGAACCTGAGCAAGCAAAATTGGTTGCAATGCAGACGTAAAAACACATTTATTGTGCAGGAGTTCACTAAAATGCTAAAGAATTATTTTTTAATTAAATGACAAAAGAAAAATAAGATGAAAACTGCATTTTCCTGCAGCTAGATTTTTTCATGGTCAGTCAAGATTTAGGTAGGTTAAGAAAATACAGGAAAGAAATGTCACCATTAGCTTCATTAATATAAATATGCTTTTTTATATAAGCATCAATGTGTTAGCTAATGAATCATAACTTGATATTAATGGTTTGATGCTGCAGGCTGGAAGATAAGGGTTTAAAATGTAAACCAAGTTCTTTCCCAAGTTATTCTGAAATGGTATTGCAGGCATAATGCAAATATTTTCAACTACAAAAATACTTTTTCTTCCAGGTTCCAGTCTGGAAACTGGGAGACACTGGTTTCATGCTCTATACTGCACCTGACATCTTGTTGGAAGTCCAACCTCAGGATTTAATGATGGGAAATCTGATGTTTTATCTGCAGACAGGGCTCCATGTGTATACTAGAATATACTGTTCATAGAATTCCTGCAAACAGCCTGTCCCCAGATACCCTGATGACTCTCATTCTTCCCAAATATGAACTCCTGAGCCTGCAGTGGTTAGTGGAAGAGAGATTTCTGATGCTTATGCCACAGCAATTTCCCTCTAAGAGAAATTTCTGCCACTGGAGCCATGTTATGTCAGCATACCTACTGCTGGACAAAGTGCAGCGATTTCATCATGAGTCTCCTGACATCTGGAGATGTTCTTAAAGCCCTGGCTCCTGGTTTCATAAGATGAAAAGAGAAACTCAGCTTTTGTTGAAAATAAAATATGTTCTAGCCCTCATGGCTGCATAGAAAAGCTTGAACATGACCCAGGTTCGAACATAAAGGCTCAGGAATAAGATAGCAACAACAAAAAAGAATCAGGAACTCATTTAAAAGCAACTTCTCAAAAATAGTGTAATTTTATGGGGGCATTCATTCATGATTTTTGAATATTTGGGATTGGAAGTACTTCAGTCCCCACATTGCTTCCCGGACATTTTCAAGTCCGTCACTGCACTGTATGCAAAATACCCTGACTCATCTCAAATACCTCATTCTTCTTTGTTTTGTCCCTCTTAAATGCCTACAGACATAAATCTGGCTTCTGCTTCCTCTGAAATCAAGGACAGCAATTACTTTGCCTGACTTTACACACATTATACTTTCTAACATCATATTATTCTCCTTTCATTTGCCTTAAAAATATCAAATATTTCTTTTTCCCTCAAGACAAATTAGAGAGGCAGGTGAGTTGTATCTCCTTCACATCAAATTATGGGTGACACCTTAATCCAACTATAAATTCACTGCGTCTCCTACGCTGTAACAGTCTTTCTGTAGTAACCGACCTATCTTCCAGATTATCCAGCCTACAGGTAGTTTCCTGAATTACATAGATGCAAACATAAATAATTTCCATACACAGTTTCTTACGTCTGAGTCCTTTGCTAATCTCTAGGGATATTCCAAAAAGGGCCATTTGACTTGGATTTATCTTCAATTTTATGCAATTACAGAGGGCAGCAAACAGTGGCACAACCAGGATTACACTTGGAGTGGGGAGGGTGGTGCGTACGTTCTGATGTGAAGGGAATAGAAATCTTCTCAGCTTCAGGTCCAGCTCTGCAATCCGTTCATTCCTTGAGCTTTTCCTTCCACTTTATGGTTTAGTAAAGGCACTTGTTGAATCCCATGGTCTTTTCTGAATTGTATATATACACACACACACACACACACACACACACACATATATATATTTTAAAAAGAAACACACTATTCTACTCTGTCCCTACTGCTAGATTATCTTATTTTTCTTGGGAGGCTAAACCAGTTTAAATAGATGTTGCATTTCCTCTCCCTGAAGCACAGGAAACTCTCATTGTCTGTGATGTTAACAGGAAATATTGCATTGCTTTGAACCTGTCCAACACATGATTCTGAGTTTGAGTAGTAGTGGCTCTACTAGTTGATAAGTTTAGTACCAGCTGCTTGCAGATGCAAAACTTCCCCTTTCTCCCTCCAAACTATACTTTCCTGAAAGAAGCAGCACGTTACTTCGACCTGGCTCTGCAGTGTCTATACAGGTTGGATGATTTTTGTGGGGCTTTTTAGCGCTTGTATCTGAAGCTGATTCAGCTATTAGATAAAAGTGCCAAAAAGCCCCACTAAAGTGCCCAATCTATACAGAAGCTTCAGAGCCAGGTTGAAGTAACATGCTGTCTCTTCTGGACATATACTGGGCTCAGTGCAGGAGTGTGCCCAATTTAAAGTAAAGCACAGATTTTTTTTTAATTTTCATGTCTGCAAGCAGAAGACCTTATCCATAGTCACTGCTGGGATTCTTGTTTAAAGGCATGTAGATACTGTTGCCAAAGTGCACACGGGCCTAAACAGCTGGGGAACAGGCAGAACCAGGCCCAGTCCCTGCAAATATCTATGTCCACTGAGCTGGTTCATCAGAGCCACTTCTAGGCCTGCCTATGGCAACAGATTCCCTATAAACCCAGTTTGCCACAGGACGGACTGTGAGTAATGCTAACAATATAACTGTTGATAGTTGGAGTGGGGGAGGGGGGTGGCACACAATTTTGTGCAGCCACTGTTCCCATGGCTGTCGGGCACTCTGTGCCCCACCATTGCAGAAATCTGGGCCCCCAAACATTGCCTATGCTCACAACAGCAATAAAGTAAAAAATATTAAACATTGGGAGTAATTAACCATTAGAGGTAACTGTGAAAGCCTGAGGTTCCCTGTAGAAGCCTGAATCCCTTGTCAGGAATCTTTGTTGCATTTGATCCACCCCAGACTTGTTGATTCTCTTTGGAACTTCCCTGCTACACCTTTGATGTTAAAGAAAATCCAAAAGGAGAAAGTAAATATCGGGATGTACATTGCTGGTTCTTACTGCAACCTAGCTATCCAGATTACCTCTTCACAGGGCTCCTCCACCCCCTACCTTGACCTTACCACCCCAGATTTTCATGGTGCAATTCCTTAACTAGAGTCCTTGCCTAATGCACCATCACAGTTTTGTATGCTCTTGCCCGTTATCACATGCCTGTGGCCATGGTGTTACCACAACTTGGGTGTACACCCTCATACATCCCCAATTCAGGTTCAATATCAGTCCAACTTGCCCCTTTGTATAAAAGGGACAAATCCCTTCTCTGATCACTCTCACTTTAATCTTGCATGATCAGTGTCCAATTACGCTTCTGAGTTCCCGTGCCACTCCACCTTAACTCATAAGGAACTGGTCAGAATCATACCCAGTTTAGCACAGTCCTCTCACTCAGTCCCAGCATTTGACCTTCCCTTTCTGGAAAAGGAAAACCTTGTCTTCTCAAGGCCAATCCCCCTTAGTCCTGAATGAAGACTGCCGCACTCACTGAGCTGCCTCACTGCTGGCCCTCTGTGGGATGCTCCTGCTCTGGATCTGGTAAGTCCCTTCTTCATCTTCACAGAAACTGCTGACCCCTGACTAGGTTGTACAGCAGCATGAGCTCCCACTCCTGCTGGTTTTCCCGTCTCCAGAGAAACACCCCTCATACGTCCCCGGAGCTTTAACTTCTGGGTCAGATATCCAAGCCTATCAGGGCATCTTCCTGTCCATCCACTCTCCCCACTGGGCCTGGCAAAACACCACAGCTGCTCTCATTTGCTGCTCACTTTATTGGCTCTTCCATCATTCAGGTAGGGAAACCCTCTTTCCTGCAGTTCCTCAGCTTTCTTGTCAACTCATGGCAGGGTGTAACCACTTCCCTGTCACAGGAACCTCCCAGGCAAATGGTGAATTCTCACCTCTTGATGTCTTCAGGTCAAGACATGATGCCTTTCCAGAATTTGTGCACTAAGCAAACATATGTTGGGATAATATGGTGAGATTTAAAGCTTTCTGTTAGACAGGTTGTCACATTAGATCATGAGTGTTCAGACAGGTCTGTAGGGACCCTCTTAGGCCATGTCCCTGCAAGCTAGATCAGGCATACAGGGTTGTGTAGGGCCAGGCAGGAGCAGCGTGGGGCCCCAGGGCTTGATACCAACACGTGGAGCTGGACAGAGATGGCATGGGACCCTTGGGCTCAATCCTGGTGACCAGAGGTGGTGCAGAGCCCTGGAATGTGATCCTGCTGGGCAGGACCAGGTGGAGACAACATGGGGATCTGGGGCCCAATCCCAATGGGTAGAAGCAGTATCCTGGTGTGTGGGGTCTGGCCCACCTGCAGACTGGGTCTGTGCCACTCATCTGCCTTAAGGGCTCCACTGCACTATGATCTCATTGTGCCTTCTGGCCTAACACTCTGTGAGCATGTCTACATGTGCTGATTTAAAGCGCTTTAGCCCAATTTAAAGTGTGTGGAAGACCGCGTCTGGCTCCCAATGAAAATTGCAGCTTCATTCCCTCTTAGGATCAGAGAGCCTCCTTTTTTGTTTTGCCCGCCATGACTCACATGTCAAAAAAGGATCCAAACGCATAGATTGTCCTGAGGGACAAAGCAGATGTAAAATCCTGCAACTTCAGATTAGCGTTCCTCTTCACAGGGCTCCACCATCCTCATACAGTGTCTTTACCACACCAGGTGTTCATATGTCAATTTCTATTTCTCTTGTGAAGATCAAATATCTCAGTGCTACTTCAAATGGGCTCTATACTGCTGGTCTCTGGCCATGGATCTCTGCTCCTGTTCTAAATCACGGGGCACAATATAAGGTTACACAGTTCCCTTGTCTTTCCATTAGCTTCAGGGAAAGATCGTCTTGGGCTACTGGCCCTAACTCACAACTCAAGTCCACTTCTCTTTCTTCCTCCCTCAAGTTCCCAGGTTGAAGCCCCACTCCCACTGAATCCATTCTCACCAGTTCTGCTGAGAGAGCTTCCTCATTGCCTTGATCCTTCAGGTAAGTTTGTGGGGCACGCCCAGACTCTGCGGCTTCTGGTCCTGCCGAGCTCCCCTGTGTGCTGCTCTCTTCTCTGGAGTAGAGCCAACTGCCTGTTTGGCTCTCTTTTAAATGCCTGTGGTGGTCAGCTGTGTCTGCAGTGGTGGCATTCCATTTACTCACACAGCTGATCACTTTAATTACCTTCCGGGGTTTTCGTGCATCTTTTCCCTTGTCCGGGCTCACTGTCTTTTCTCCCCATCTGGGTTCTCTGCCCTGGTAAGTTTTGCTTCATTCTTTGTTCTTTTAGTATCCCATGGCAGGGCATGCTTACTTCCATGTCACAACGTGCATTAAGGGTGCACATCTACAAGTGTGTGCTCTTAATGTGCCTTAAAAATGGCAATTTTAGGCTATTCTCACCTAAATTTGATACCTGCAAAAGCTAAATGGAAAATAGCTTTTAGCACAAATAGTTAAAGCACATTAATGTGTAGATGCATTATGGTGCATTAGCACTGTGTATGGACTGACTTGGGACTAACTTTAGTCCCACGTCAGTCCACACACATGGCATTAATGTGCTTTAACATGTGTATGTATAGATGTGAGTCTAAATTGCCTTAATGTGCATTAAGCTAATACACATTCAAGTTAGGCATGCCTAAATGTACATGTAGACATGCCATGTGAGTCAATCAATCAGTTAGCATGTAGGAACTTTGTCCCATTGAAGGCAATAGGAGTTTGAGTTCCAAGGTACCCACAAGGATTGAGGACTGAAAGATTCCAAAGGATGGGCATCTTAAGCCCATAAAATGCCTCTCTCTCAGTACAGAGCTCCCCTCCAACATCTTCTGAACTCAGCCATGCAGGCCAGAGTCAAGAAGGCATTGTTTAGCTCTTTGCATTTAATGTAAGGCTTGAGTTTGGTCAAATATGGCCTCAGACAAGATTTGGTAGAGCCCTCAGAAACAAACAATTTGGAAGGACTACAATAGAACCCAGTGTGGCAGGCTGCTAGGGGGTGCTCCTGCACTGAGCCACCCACCTCACTGTACCCGACCACCTTCCAGGCTCCAAGTGCCTCCCTGGGGGCACCTGACATCTAGCCAACCCCCTTCCTGGAGCACACCTGCTAGCCTGGGGTTAATGCTGCCACCATCCAGGGTGTGGAGTGATCCTGGCTCTGTGCCCCTTGGGAAACACATGCCTAGTAGTCCTTGAGGGTATTCGACCCACTTCAAGAACTTGGGGTACTTCCCTCAGTCTGAAGCACAAACAGTGGTCTCCCTTAGTTGAACCAAGGGGACCCCAAAGCATAATTTAGATTCATTCCCAATATGTCTCCCATGTTAGGTACAAAGGAGAACTTTTTTGGTTATATGGAGTAGGTTTGGAATAGGTTACAGGGTAGAGCAAGATCAAAGAAATCCCACAGAGCAAACTGGCATGGCTGGGTAGCCTTTGATCATGCATGTGAGTTACTACAAGCTATATATGTAGTTAGATCTCAGGTAGCTTACTCATGAGTATCATCCAGAGGCAGGTGAAGATTCCCTCTGGAGGTAGGCAGTTCATTGATCATGAGTTTCAAGAGAGAGCAAGTTTCAGATGGTCCAGCTTCTCTCTAAATTTTCATTATGGCTACTGCACCTCCTCCTGGGCAGTCCTTAACTTACATAGACCTTATGACCTCATTTACAGGGTCAAATGGAGG